GCCATTCCTTTTGAAAACGTTTCCTTTTTTCTTTTCCTTTCATCAAAATCATGAATGTAAAACATCTTTCATGATTATGATGTACAAATATACTTAAATAAAATTCAAATGCATTTAACATAAACCTCAACATGTATATTTTCAAACCTCAAGAATATATAACATAAATAATAAATTAAATACATGTTCCACATCAATCAAGTATGCATGCCAAAACATAAATAAACAATTAATATCAACATTACATTAAAATACATCAAGGACAAAATATTCAAGCAATATAACCATGTCATTTTTTTTTCATGAGTGTAACCATTGTTCATGTCATTTTAGTCTTGTAAACATCAAAATTAGCATTAGCCTTACATTAATCTCTTATTTCTTTGTTTTCCATACTTGCTCGAAATTAGGCGGGACAACTTCCATTTGATCAATTTAACTCAAAATTTCACCTCTAACCTCTTAATGTAACATGTTTTTCACCATTTTAAAATCAATTAGGTTAAATTTATTAACTGATCAAAACTTGTTACATGGCCAAAATTCACCACAAAGTGACCAAGTTTCAATTCTTTCAATTTAACTCTATGAACATTTCTACGACATTTCATCAAATACTTCGTAGACATTAGGTAATAAAACCACCAATTTATTCTTACTTTAGATTACCCAACCACCTTTTTCTTGGAACAAGGACAACATCAAAAAATTGAATTAATTCGAATTAACCATTTAAATATCATAATTCTCGCATCAAAATCACACACACATCATTAAAACCAACCAATTCAAACAACAACTTTGTAATTCTAACAATTTAATCATTAAATCATAAGCACTCAAACTTTAAATTAGCATCAAGTAGGTTAAGTTTTCATTCAGTCTAAATCTTCTTACTTGGTCCAAATTCATCATAGAGTGACCAAGTTTCAATGTTTCTTATTTAACACCATAAATATCTTTAAAACATTTCATTAAACATCTTGCTTCTAGTGTGATTATCCTAAAAGTATTTTTGATATAAGTAATATCTCCTTGACCCACAAAGAGAAGTTACTACCTCTATAAATAAAAGAGAGAGAGAGAGAGAGAGAGAGAGAGAGAAAGAGAGGTGACATAATATATCAAAAAAGAAAAAGGAAGAGCACTCTTTTCCTTAAAAAATTTGACCAACTTCTCTCTCACACACTAGGGCTGGTGCAAATTATCCTAAAAGGATTTCTAGAGAAAATTCACAACACAAAATAGTTAGAGCTAGCTCACGATGATTTTTATAGCTTCTAGTGTGATTGTTTGAGCTGCATGGATAATCGGTAGAGGTCGGACACTTGGATGATTCCTTTTCACTTGAATTGTTACTACACTACAAGAGGTAATCATTAACCTTATTCTGATTCATGTTTATATATGATTAGTTGATTCAACGAGCATGATCTTAGAGGTCCTAGATGGAGGAATTTTTTTTTTTTGCTTATTTCTTACCTCCATAGGGTGTATGATCCTTCAACCATGATCTTTGTAAGTCTTTTTTTTTTTTTTTTTAAGAGCTCTTAGCTTTATCCTTAAAGGAATGGATGTCATCTATTTCCACGGGATGTCTAGGGTACCTTTAGACTTGGGTAAGGTGTGCTTTTATAATTGGAAAAGAATTCTTATCCCATTAGCGTAAATTAACTCTCTTTCAAATCATATAGTGTTGGAAAGGTTAAATATAACTAGATGGTCATAAAATTATCTTTTTTGATTCATAAGAGGTTGATGTTAACAAATGACCAAACTTGATGATTAAATTACGGATGTGCTTCCTAACCAAGGATGAAATTAAAGCATATTAAGTAACTTAGGGATAATCTATTTGGCGAGTGCAGAGTTCGGGAGTTTAGGAAAAATCTTATTGCATGGGCAAAGTTAGAGGCTGAGGTGATGATGGATGAAGCTTAGGGACCGATTTGAAAGCTAAACTCAATTTAAGAGTCGAAATATATGTATAAATGCTATAGATCTAACTATGTTTGGATGGGTTTGAATTATTGTATTATTGTATCATTTATTTAATAATAATAGATAAGTCTTTCTATAAATTCTTATATTTTATGTTTATTAATTTAGTAGAATTAGATAAAAGTCCTTATAATATGCATTTACAATAGTGATTTATCTAAAGATATGAGGCAAACACTAATGCATAGAAATGATATCATTAAACGTCTCAAGTCATAACATTGTCAAGAATGGACATTAACTATATATGGATAGACTTGTGAGTGCTAGGCTCATGCTATATGATAGCGAGTAGGAGATCTCACACCTATTGGCATGGTGATGTCAAAGCAAGCACTTAGGTGATTTATGTTAGAAAACATATCGTCGGGGTTGACTCGCCATGAGAACCCATTTAGTTTAGTCTATGAAAATCTCATACGAGATGGGTATAATTGATCCTTAGACTTGAAGTCATCATGATTATCTCATTAGAGAATTTATACACTTTGACACTTGTTTTGATAGACCCGATAAAGGGTTGCATGTTGGTGATTCGTTGGGTGCACTAGGAATCTAATGGAGGTAGGTGTATAACTAAGATATGATATGTCATTCCTTATATGCTCAAAGAGTTATTACATTGCACTTTGATGAATGTATGCTTGAGAAATGCTGTGTCCATAGTAAGAGAACACTAATAAAGCATATTTGGTTTACTCTAAGAGCTAAGACATTTATGAATAAAAAAAAACTTATGTGATCATAATTGAATAAGACTTATAACCAAGTTCAAGACCACACTTGTGATAAGTTGATATGAGGACTGAATTGTATGGTAACCATGCTCGTGAAAGGTAATAATGGCTTAATTAATCCTCCTAGAGAATTAGGTAGTCATGATGCCTTGCTAGAGCCCAATCTTGATTTATGTATCAAGAGATAAATGATGAGTCTTTTGTTCTTGATAAATTGCCAACATATATAGGAGCCTATTGAGTCACACGTATAAGTTTAAGTATTCACATGATTAAAGAGAAGCCAAGACATTGGAAGAAGTTTTTCAATTTTGAAAGTTTCCTATTTTGAAAAAGGCTTTCAAAATGGAAAGTTTCATAAAATGAAAAGTTTTCTATGTTAGAAATCGGTTTCTTAATTTGGAAGTAAATAACCTAAAATAGAAACGAGTTTCCTAATTTAGGTTAAATGGTATTTTAGAAAATTATTTCCTAATATGGGCCGCCTAAATTATCTAAAATTATTTATTTGGATAGTTCAAATAAATTAATTAGGCCAGAATAGTTTTGACTTAATAGGTTTAATTAAAAGCCTTAAGATATTTTAATAGGAGGATAAACATCGAGTCTTATTGGATAAAGATGAATGTTTTAAAGATAAAAATAAAAAAGCCTATATGTAAAATAACTCTTAATCCTTAGAGGTTTAAAAAGTAACAACCTAGAGTCGTTAAGGGACTTATTACCGCCCATTTGTTTTTATAGGATAAGAAAGTCTCTTTTATATATGTGGGAGAGAGAGTTGGGGCACAAGTAAGAAAAAAGAGGAAAGAAATTCGACAAAGAGAAAATCTCTTTAGGGTACATGGTAAAAAGAAAAATAAAAGATGAAAATAGTTGTCTCCTAAAACCCTAATACACGTCACTTTTCCTCTTCCTTTAAGGTTGTCGTAAAATTACCCAGATTAGATTTCTATAGAAACCACTACATAAATTAGAAAAGGTAGAGCTAGCACTCTACCCATTTTGAGTGTTTCTTTGTAGGTGCTTAGACTGCATAGATCATCAATAGAAGCCGGACACTTGAACGTTTTTCTGCTAAAGAATTTAGATCTGCGTTACAAGAGGTAATTCTCTATTCATTGCTTTAATTCTTATACCTATAGTTAGTTGATTCAATATCATGATCTTGGGCCCTTTAGATTGAGAAAATGTTTTCTATTTATTCCGCACCTTCATAGGATATATGATCCTTCACGAAATTGGGAGGTAATGAGAACTTTTGACACCGATCTTATGTTGACTTCATACTAAATTGAATACTTAAACATTCTATTATTGTCGTTACCCAAATCTACTTCTTCAAGAGTCAAGTAGCTGAAACTCAAACTCCCATAAAGTTGATGAATATTGAAATTCCAACCTTAAGTTAGATAAGACTAAAACTTTTCAAGCAATAAAAACCCTAGTTTTGATTGATTTGATGAGATTTAGGATTCCACTACAATCTAAGCTAATTTGTTGATTAATAAAAACATCATTTTGAATGATAAATTTCAAAAATACAACAAACACAAAATCCTAAGCATGAACAAAGATACAAAAGATAATTTGAGAGAAACATCTCAAGAACTTTATTACATAATAAAAATTATTTCTCTACATGGCATAAGATACCTTAAATATTGCTCAAAATTTTTTTCTAAGCTAAACTTGTCCAATTTGGACTACACAAGCTTTACTTTAATCCCACTAAAAAAGCTAAGTTCTAAACAAATAAGGACAACAGAGTTGGTCTAAATTTAATAAGAACTAATTAGTTTTGTTCAAATTAAATATGAACTTCTAAAATAATATGTTTATGAGAATAAAAATCCTAAAGTAGGTTACCTAATTAATTACATAAGTAAAGTAAGTAATCTAAATTACATAAGAAAAGTAGGTGATCTAGATCACATAAGGTAACCTACGTCACTATGAAAAATTTGCCCTACTTAATTTAAACTTAGGAAATTCGACCTAATGAGCATGATGAAGTTGGAATGGGCCATACAGATTGACGAAAACTCGACCTCGAGTCGAGTTTTGATCCCCTTTTTCTGTGATATCGTGGATTTCTAATCAAAATAATCCAGCCCATTTAGTCCAGCCATCTTCTCCTAAGTTCACTTTGATTGCCATTAAACCTCCGTCATTACGTTGAACTTGAACGCATTGCACCGTAAGAGAATTCTTATCATTCTTGTACTGCTTTCTCTTGATATTTGAATTGAAAAGAAGAATTTAGACTTCTTCAGTTCGAGCCTGTCTCCTTGTATGGATAAGCTGTATGGAAACAATAGTCGTAGCAATTCGTGTAGCTTGATTTAACATCCCTGAATTTGTTGCATTCCTCGTGACTGCCACTTTACAAAACCCATCCAAGTTTTGCTCTTTATATATGGGAGATAAACCCTTGAAGTTGCGTGTGCCTTGGTCAGGTTGTTTGAGCAATTCGAGTTTCTTGTCGATTACTACTTTTTTCAGTGGCAGCACCAATTATAATCCTCTTTGTTTTTAATAATACAACATTGAGAAGAACTTGTTGATCTTATGATCAAAAGGTTTGATTTTGTAGCAGTTGATCTTCTCCTCTACAACTTAAAATTGCCTATTCCTATCTATCATTTGTGATTGCAGTTTGCTGTTAGTTTGAGCGAAGTTCATGTTCAGGCTTGATTCTACATGAGTCTGTTCATACCTTCCAAGTTCAAGAGTTGCAAATTTTCCCTTCTTTGATTCTACTAACAAGCTCCTCAAGCCTTCAAATGCTTCATGATACTGCATAATGACGAGAAACTCTATTGATGTTGAACATGTTGCATCAACTGAATTATTACCAAAAACAGCTTTAAGTGTCTTAATCTACCTTATCTCAACATGATTCATGGTTAACTTCTCTCATTTTGATTCTTCATTACCTTCAGTAACAAAATTTTGAAAGCTGCCTTACTTTTCTATTGAATCTTAATTGGTTGCATCACCATTATTGACGGTAACTCCAATTGGTAGCTCTTTTTGCCGTTTTCTACCATTGCAAATCGATGTTGTTACCATCGTGACAGCGACCATTAATCTTTTCTCTGTCTTTGTGTTGCTGGATAATGTAGTAACGTCCAAAACACTTTTCTTCTCATCTTCAACTTCAACAAGCTCTATTTGTGTTTGAGCAACCTTATCACATGGAGATAATTGGGACAACTTTCCAGTAGCTTCTTGCTCATTCTTACAATCTCCATCGGTGGAATTTTGGTTCTTTTGACAACAACAAAGTCATCTTTATCAACTTCTTCTTCAGCACCATCATGTTCCTCCGATGCTCCAATAAATATAGACTCGCAAATTAACTCCTATTGGCTATTCTTGATCGAAAGCTTTTTCTTCATATGCATGAGCACAATCTTGTTTGCTCTTTTTAGATCAATGAGTATGTGCTCTTGAATCCCTCATGAACAACTCACCTATCATATTTCCATGGTCTTCTTAACAAATATGACATGGATTCATATGAATTACATCATACCACCATTCATCTTGATACTTTTTCCCTATGGAGAAATGCACAAATCACCTCATGGTCACCCAATTATTATAACCTCTATTAAACTAAGCTATCTTGTAAAAGATTAGGAAGATCAATCATCAGTAAGTTGAGTTTTTCTGCTATCATCACCGACACTATGTTCTCACAACCTCTCTATGGATAATCAAGTTACACATCTTTTTGTGAGATATGCATCTAGTGCAAAAGATGCTATGCCTAAGCCACCTTTCCTCTTGCTATACTTTGTCCTCGAGAGCTCTTCAAACTATTAAAGACTCTATTGTCCGCAAAGATCTCAATCTCTTCTTTTCCCTTCTTCGTCGAACCATCAACCACCTCAACCTCGTCAATCTCTTTTACAAGGCTAATTACCCTTTAGTTAGGGTAATCTAAAGCAATGAGCATGATCTATTGGCACTTGAAACACCTTTAAGAATTGTTGTTGGATCTTATTTGTACTTTTTTTTTTTTTTTTTTGGCACCATTTAGAGTGCCTTCGACTCCTTATCGTCTTGTATCTTGGGTAGAGTTAGGAATTCTAGCCAAATTCACTGGACTATGTTGAGTCTTTGTATCCAAAAATCTTCCTTCTTGTCACCTTGTTGACATTTGATGGTGCTCCACTTTAGGGATAACTTCACAATATCATTCAATGTGAAATATTGTTGTACTTGCATAACATCTATAATCTTAGCCCTCAATCTGCCCAAAAATCTTAAAATGATGTGCTCATCTAGCTAGTTAATTTCACACTTTAACACGAGTTGCCTAAATTCAAAAACAAAGGCCTCCACACTCAAGTTACCTTGATAAAAAAGTATAAAATTTAAGATAAGTATCTTGTCCCTGACAATTGAAAAGATACTTACGATTCAAAACCTTCTTCATCTTGTCTCACGATGTGATCTTGCCTTTCTACTCATGGAGTCATTGCCTTTTCACGTTCTCTCCATATGAAAGAATTGTTCATTAACTTGATTGCCATAGGCTTGACCTTTTTATCATTCAGAACATCTTTGAAATCAAACACTTTTTTTATGGTGTCCACCTATTCAGTGAAGTCATCTGGATTAACTTTACTACTAAAGTTGGGTATCTCCACCTTGACACCAAAATCATGGCATTGTTTTTTTGGTTTCCTCACCACATGCCCAAAGATGGATGGATCCTCCCTCCTTAGAGGATGAAGCGGTTTGCAATGGTTGAAAAGGATTCTCTCTTGGACTTCATCTTCATCATCACCTATGGATATTCAACTATTCATCTATTGAACCATCGATCTGCTCCAACTTTTTACTCCTTTATCGCAAATGTTGAAACTCTTTTATCCATAGGGATTCAATTTTGGTTTATTTTTCGAGGCATCATCACTAAACTTGGTCAAGAGCATGAGCGAAAACAACCTAAGCTCTTATACCTAGTTGACACTAGTATTGTGCTGAATTTAGACCAAAATGAATACTCCAATGTTGTTTGATTATTGTTGGTAAAATCTACTCCTTCAAAAGTCAAGGAGCCAAAATTAGAGCACCCATAAAGTTGACGAATACTGAAATCCTAACCTTAAGTTAGACAAGACTAAAACTTTCTAAGCAACAAAAACCCTAGCTTCGACTGTTTTTGGTGACCACCTTGAGAGATCAATTGTAAAGATACGAAAAATACAAAATCTTAGGCATGCGCAAAGATAATGCACAAGAATCTTAAGCACAAGCATAAGGACAGTCAAGAAAATTTAAGAGAAATGTCTCAAGAACTTTATTACTTAATAAAAATTATTTCTCTACACGCTATAAGACGCCTTAAATATTGCTAAATGTTTTTTGCCTAAGCTAAAAAAGCCTGTCCAATTTGGACCATAAAAACGTTAGCCTAATTCCACTAAGAAACCTAAATCCTAAACAAATAATAACAACAAGTCCAATCCAAATTTAATAAGAACTAATTAGTTTTGTTTAAATTAAATGTGGACTTCTAAAATAACGTCCTTATGAAAATAAAAGTCTTGAAGTAGGAAACCGAAATCACATAAGTAAAGTAGGTAATTTAAATCACATAAGATAACTTAAATTACATAAGAAAATTTTGCCACACTTAATTTAACTTAGGAAATTCAGCCCAATAAGCATTATTAAATTGAAATAATAAGTGGGTGTTAACATCATAAGTGTGTTGTAAGAACACACGTAATTTAATTTAGGTTTCCTAATTCCACTAGGAAACCTAAATCCTAAACAAATAAGAACAAAAAATCCAGTCCAAATTTAATAAGGACTAATTAATTTTGTTTAAATTCAATATGAACTTCTAAAATAACGTCCTTATGAAAATAAAAGCCCTAAAGTAGGTAACCTAAATCATATAAGTAAAATAGGTAATTTAAATCATATAAGGTAACTTAAATTACATAAGAAAATTTTGCCACACTTAATTTAACTTAGGAAATTCAGCCCAATAAGCAATATTAAATTGAAATGATAAGTGGGTGTTAACATCATAAGTGTGTTGTAAGAACACACTTAATTTAATTTAGGTTTCCTAATTCCACTAGGAAACCTAAATCCTAAACAACTAAGAACAAAAAATCCAATCCAAATTTAATAAAGACTAATTAATTTTGTTTAAATTAAATATGAACTTCTAAAATAACGTCCTTATGAAAATAAAAGCCCTAAAGTAGTAACCTAAATCACATAAGTAAAATAGGTAATTTAAATCATATAAGGTAACTTAAATTACATAAGAAAATTTTGCCACACTTAATTTAACTTAGGAAATTCAACCCAATAAGCAATATTAAATTGAAATGATAAGTGGGTGTTAACATCATAAGTGTGTTGTAACTTGGAGGCAATGCCACATGATAACCTTAACTCATTTTGTCCATTTTCTAACATTTTTTTCCATCATAATAATAAAATTATTATGAAGGAAACTGATAATTGATACTTTATTTGGAAAGGTGTTGGGACGAGTGGATGTATATATTTCGTGTAACGTAAATTTACCTTGTGAAAAAAATACATGGATACGGAGAAAAAATGACAACATAAACAAACTGCTTATCCTTTGTATTGGGAGGTGATGATTATGACAAATCTATATGTTAGTTTTGCGGTGATGTGTTCATGAATTAAGAAAGATAAAACCTCATTGAGTGGTGGATACCTAAATGAAGCATTTACTGTACAACCAAATTTGGTATTTCATATGGATGAGACACCATTGTTGTCAAATCAGAGATTGGTAGATATGGATTAGAAACTAGCTTTTTACTCAGCTTCTTACAAATAACGACATTGATGATGCACATGATTTTGATATCTAAATTGATTGTATTTGTTGTTCAACCTCTTTAAGGGGTTGAGAAAATTAATAGCGATGTCTTTTAAATTCCTGCAAACATGGAGCACGGGCATCAACATTAACAATGGTGCCTAAGGAAACCCAGTATGGCCACTCTGATGGTTAAGTGAGTGTTTCAAGGATACTCTATAGATATTAGAGAGAGAGAGTTGGTTCTTTGAAATTGTGTTGTTATTAGAGTTGCTGAACTTGTGTTTAATGAAGGAGAGAACCCCTTTATATTGTAGAAAATAATTGAGTACAGGACATATATTTAGTGTATAGATCGAACTCATAGTTGTGACAAGGTCCATCAATAACGAGATTTGTAAAAATTCCAAATTTCACACCTCATCCATTTTATGTATTCAAATTCATTCAAACGTTGGCATAACAAATTTCTCGAAATAATCCCATTATGAATGATATGTCTAAAGCTCAACCATAAAAGGCAAAACTTTGTAAATAATGATTTTGATAAATTAGTATGCTGATAGAGCATGGGTTAACCATACTTTTGAACATAATTCAATACTGAATGCGTGTAAAGTCAGAAGTGGTGTTACAAGGAATGACAATAACATTTCATATTGTTTGATGGATACGTGCCTAAAAATTTGAGAAATCTATGGCATGTTTTATGGTTTATCTTATGAAAGCCATTTCACGAAATGGTGCATTCCTTGTTATTAATTTAATTGGTAATTTTTTCATACTCAAGGGATTCTTCATATATATATATATTTTCATCTTTTGGGATCATAATGAATGTAATTATTAACCGAGTAATTTTCTATAATGCAAAAGGCATGTTTTACAAGTCCAAAATTGTTTTCAAGAAAAAATGGTGTAACTTGTTTTTCAAAACTAATCTTTTTCACACAAAGTTGGCCTTTGGGTACAACTAATCTCGAGTGCAATCAAAATACAGTAGTGATTAATTAAGTCATGCTTTATGCCTTTTTAACTAATTAATATGTAATGTGTATAATGATGTAAATAGTCCTAATACTATTGTTTATATATATATTTACTTGCACAATAGTCCTAACCGACTACTTTGTGAGATCTGTAAATGAATGATGCGCACGTCATGAACCCAACCACTGAAAAAAGAAAATTAATGGAAATCATATTTACTTGCACAATCATAATTCTTAAGGAAGCTATCTATTCTATCGGTAAAACTTCTCATCATCATGCAAGGTTGGTTCAAATTTTCTTAACTTTTGTACATTAATCGTTTTTTATTTATTTATTATTATTATCACTGTCAACGTCATATCTACAAGGAAAAAAATGGAGACAAGGAGTCGATACTTTGCTAATCGAAGAGAACTAGAAAACACTAATTATACTTGATCTG